AAATCCTGGATCCGCCCCTGGAAAGGGAATTATACACTGATCATTTATTGCCATTACACCTAAACAACATAATACATATTTACAGCGATATAGACCAATATAAAGTCACATGACGCAAAAGATCAAAAGGTCAAAAAATCAAACTTACCAAAAGTTGTCGTGTTTAGTATCATTTGAAAGCTCTGCAAATGATGAGTTATGTTTTCCTGTATATACATATCAGAAACTGTGTAGTTTTTCATATATTGTCCTGTAAATATCTAATTATCAAATAGAACAAAATCCCACAAACACACTCTTTGGCTGATTTATTAGAAGAGGTCAGTCCAACTACGACCCATCATTTTACTATGAAGGTTTGACCAGATATGTACACCTGTGTACTTTCTGGGGAAATGCTTAGTTCCTCCGAGTCCAAATGAACCCAGGATAGGCCAGGGGCCCCACTCTTAATTACTCTATGGTGGCCAAGGCAAATACAGTATGTTGTGTTTTCCTACTTATTGATGATTCTACATACATGAACAATGGTACCGCAAGTTACATGCTGTATAATACATTTGATTGGGTGATTGATTTGTTATAACATTAATAGACATGGTCCTCCCAGTGGTGCAACGACGAGTTATGGGTCCCGGGCCGAAACAATGTTATGAGCACCATGCATATCAGTAAAATATTTTTGCTCACGAAGTGACACCGGGGGTGAGTAAGCCCCCTAGAGATAAGTGTTAAGGATGAAAAGACTTTAATTATTAGACAATGCCAAAAAATGTTTTGTGAATAATATTTGGCACACATATTTTTAATTTGAATATTTGCGTGCAACATATATATATATACACATATACATATATATACACACAATTGTATTCTAGATTGCTTTTAACAAGGAAATAAATTATATATCAGTTGCAGATTTAGGTATTCAAAATAGAGGGAATGTGGGTAGGGAGTGGCTTTCACACACCTATTCCACCTCAGCCCCAGCATGTTGGGGCTAAGGTAAGATCATTTATGAATACGGCACCTCAAAGTGGCCGGAATTGGCACTCATATATTTAAAATGCGAGTATAATTTCCATTTTTAAAACAATTGGAAAATTGTAGGTGGCCCCAGGCCGACAGGGTCCCCATTAAACCTTCACGGATATAATACTATGATATATGTCTTACAGTCGATCTCAGAGACACATTAAGCTGTTATGTATCAACAAAGCCCTTTTGGGTAAGGGTGCCCGAGCGAGGACCCTATGGGTTGGGGCACCTTCGGGGCCCTAGGTGACGGGGGACCTGCGGACCGCCGCATGGGAGCGCATAGTCGTTACACCACTGTACATCGGGAAAGAATTTCCTACTCATTTCCAATTAGTATACTGCGTTCTTTAACGTGCACGCAGGCAATAATGCACACGGAACCAACAGGTTAAATGTCTCATCCGAAAGACGGTGCGCTATCGTAACTTGCATTTTAGCCCTCCAGCTGAAATACAAGGAAGAGCAGTGATGGGAATTCAATACACTACCTCATTCCTAAAGCCCCTTCCAATTTCCATCTTAGAAAACTTAAAGAATTTATCCTCCAAAAGGCTGGAAAGGACCCCTGTACAGGCGAATGCTTTGCTCATTTTTAAGTCAGTAATTAAAACAACTATAATAATCTCACTACAATAATTATAATTACAATAATAGTAATAATAATAATAATAATAATAATAATAATAATAATAATAATAATAATAATAATAATAATTTTAATATTGGTTGCCTTTTTGCCCTTTAAACCTGTTTGCTGTTATTGGACTTCGCCCAGAAAGCACATGCGTTACTTAAGGCTTGGTAGTAATGTGTTAGGTAGTAGTAGGAGCGCCCCACCCCCTCCGCCATCCGAGAGCTCACGAGTTACGCAAATGGGTCCTGTTTATATTAATAAGATATGCCATTATTGGAATTTATGGGACAGTACATGAAACACCACACCGTTTCTGCTATATAAACTGCAATACATTATTCAGCATCGGAAGAGCTTTCCAACGATACCAAACACGGCTTTTTGGTGAGTTTATATAAGCCTACTTATTCTTATTATCACACATTTTAAGTAGGCCTATATTTTGCGGATATTTTAAAACAAATAAACACCTATTTTTGAATTATGTTCCATTCTGGCATGAGTGACAGTAGTTCTTAAATGTCTGATTTGTTGCCTGTATATAAATAATGATTTTAGACACCAACATCATATCTGTAGCTTATTTGTTCCAATTTATGCACATTTTAGATAAATTTGGCGGCCATTTTTCAAAATGGCCGCCATTTGTATACCAGGTGAAAAATCAAGTGTCAACAGGGCTTAGGGTGACCAGGACGGATTAATTAGGATATCTGGCTATGTTGACTGCTTCTAACATTCCACTCCCCCTAACTTGATTTCTAGGCCTCTTTTTTGATTTTTTTCCTAGTCTATAACTCGCACAGGCTGTTGTTCCCACGGATCCTACTAAATACCACACGGGACCACTCGCGACCACACAGGACCACTCGCGACCACACGGGTCCAAAAATGATAAAAATATTACCACACGAGAGTAGAAAACTACTTAATAATCAATAGAAACCAACTTTTAGTACGGTAATTATCCGAATTCCGTTAAAAATCGATGTATCTTGATTTTGATTTGTTGGTTTTTCCCGTCGTGTCTCGGTAATGTAATGCGTTAATTGTGGACCTGTAACGCATTGACGTGTCCGCTGAAACGCATTCAACCATGACCTTTATGTTTATTGTTTATACTGTGGGACTGCTCAGGGATAAAATCTCTGGTCATCCGCAGATCCCAGCAAAGAAGATGACAAACAGTGAAACATTTCATTTAAAAAAAAAAAACAAAACAAAAAAAAAACATTGAAACACAAAAAGCGGTACTACTGCCATTTATTTATTTATTTTCATAGAAACATCTCAAAATACCATCTTTAAAAACATTATTCATAAGAAGTTAACTAGATTTGTCTCTGGGCTAAAACATAACATAACTACAGGATCAATACAAATAAAAAAAAATTAAAATTAAAATAATAAGAGTCAAAAACACATAAGTATAAAAAATACAAAGCAGATACAGTAATAAATACAGTTATTGTAGAATAATAGGCCTATACATACAATGGCATACACGCAGGATGAAATGTAACGTACTGTACGTAGTGAATGCTGTAGAGGTCAAGGTTGAACGCGTTTCTGGAGACGTGAATGCGTTACAGAACCTCAATGTCACCACATTACCTTCCGAAGCACGGCGGAAAAACCTGTAAAAAAAAATCATTTTTACCATATTTTGGATAATTACCGTACTATAAGTTGGTTTCTATTGATTATTAAGTAGTTTTCTACTCTCGTGTGGTAATATTTTTATCATTTTTGCACCCGTGTGTTCGCGAGTGGTCCCGTGTGGTCACGAGTGGTTCCGTGTGGTATTTAGTAGGACCAAAGATACTAGAAATACAAGATAGAGTTCTCGCATTGTAAAAATGAGGCGGAAGTCGTGCCCAACGTAGGCGGCGCCCTTCTTTTTAACCATGCAAGTTTCCTATACTTCGTGCCCAACGTACAGGGCGCCCTTCTGTTGCTCAGTATATCCAGACGCAAAAGGCGCCCTTCCTTTTCCACTAAAGCATCTTCAGATGTGTATAAGAGACAGGTTTTTTTAGATCCAGCTGTTGGGGCGTCCCATTTTTCGTATTCCCACCATGCATTTCGGTGAAACACTGTGGAACACTTTTTTTGTGTGGAGAACTCTATCTTGTATTTCTAGTATCTTTGGTAGGACCGGTTCCCACAAGTGAATTTTTTCTCCGCTCGAACTAGCATCACTCGAATAAATTCCGCTCGAAACCGCTGGAATCCGCTCGAACTGGCATTCGCTCGAAGTGGCATCCGCTCGAATTGACTGGTTCTTTTTTTTTGTATGTATTTTCCCGGCCGACTTGTACAAAATTGAGAGAATTGTACAGAATTGATTATATAGATGATGCTTTTTTGCTGGGGCATATGTGAGTGTGGCCTATGGTCATTCCTGTCGTGTATTTTTTTTTATTGAATGCAAAAAAAAAAAACAACACAGTGCTTGTATTGTAATGTTCTTTTTTGAACAGCGTTCCAGTAGGCTAGTCCTAGCCTAGGCCTAAAGCTAGGGTATGCCCAGGGCGTGTAGGTCTAGGCCTAGGCTAGGCTTAGGTAGAGCAGTAGCTAGAGTAGGGACTATACTACACTAGCTTAGGCTTGAATAAGGCGCGCTAACGCACTTTAGGGCGCTAATGAACTTTCGCACCTAACTTTTAATTCTTATTTTTTTTACCTCAACGTTCTTCTCACAGTCACAACATATAATTAACAAACATTTTCACCTGATTTAACCACTCACAAAGTACCTTTTTCAACAAATAAGCTCGCAAATAAGTACAGTGAATCTATGTTCGCTAGCACGACGAGCGGCTGCCATTTTGCAATCATTAAGAAATTGCCAGAACTTTTAATTCTTAAAGTTTTTACCTCAAATGTATGGTGCTGTTGTTCGACTATGTGTGTTCACATGAAATTCACACGTACAATAATTACTTCAGAGATTCGTAATGATCCAAATGCGTACACAGATCGGAAAATAGGGCCTAGGCCAGGGGCCTAGGCCTAAATCCAGAAAAACAACAATGATAAACGTTGGTTCGATTAACCTCGATTACGACAAGAAAGTTCAAAAAGATGGTACTGCATGATGCCACATTTTGTTGTCGGATGTTTCATGGGAAAATTCCAATTAAAATTATAAGACTGGCCTTTATTGTTTTCAAAATTTCAGAATTGACTCTGGGAATTTCTTACTTGATTGCAATAAAGTACAGCTCATCATGCTAGCAAGCGCGGAAACCCTGTTATCAACCTATACATATTTATAAAGGTATCTTTTTGTTGAAAAAATGTACTTTATGAGAGTGGTTGAATCATTTAAAAATGTTTTATAATTATGTGTTGTGACTGTGAGAAGAAAATCCAGGGAAAAAAATTAAGAATTAAAAGTTAGGTGCGAAAGTGCATTAGCGCCGCACTTTAGTAACTCCATCCTAACCCTAACCTTAACAATAACATAGCAAGACTGCAGTTGAGGTTAGGTTAGGGTGGAGTATTAAAGGCAATAGCGCCGAATAAGTTACCGACGATCAGGCTTACTATTTCCTCATCATTGATAGAGGTATGTACAATATTTACTATGCAGCATGTATTGTTATTTGATTGGTTGGAAACAAAGGGTGTGGCAGAGGCCTAAACAAATAAAGAGATTTGATTGGTTCCTGCTTCTATTGATTGTTGGGTCTGTGGTTATAGGAACTACAGCAGTGTGAGATCACATACCTGTAGTTACTGTTACTGAGGTTCATTAAATGTGATACTCAGTGTGCAGTGTTTATACTAACTAATTGTTTATTATCAACAGGGCCGTGTTAGGGAACAGTAGATTTCTACTGAATAGGTTAACCAGTACAGATATAATATATAAGATGATATAGATTTAAATTATAATGTCAGTCACATTATGTCCTATAGTTTGGTATGTTTTCCTATTTTTTTATTTATTTTTTTTTTTTTTTCAGATGGAAAATGTATTTCCTTATTTGTATTTTATGAGAAGGACAATACAAGTTATCTATTTATCCTTCTATCTATTATTCTACACAGGGTATCTTTGTTGTCACATGTGGTTATTATTGCAGCAAAATACTAATGATTGACTAGATCAATTTTTGCATCATCAGTGTTCATTTTCTTTGGTTAAGCCATGCTAATTTTGGTCTTCCTCTTCTGGTCATTTTACTTTGCCTCCTATTTCATAGTTTTTTTCAAGCATCTTCTTTTAACTCATGTGTATCTCCAACTGAATTGTTTCCTTATTTCTTAAAGCTCTGAATTTCTCTGCATGGTGCATAGTTTAATTAATTAATTAATTTTTTTTTTTACCATTGCGAATAAGCTAAGTAGGAGAGCTTACCCAGTGTTAAGACATAGTTAATAATAATAATAATATTAATAATAATAATAATAGTTTCATAAATCTTTCTTAATTTCTTTCTTCTTATTAAGAACCTTACCAAAGTCTACCCAATTTTATTTGAAAGAATATGTGTTATGCCTAAAAATGGTCATGATAACATCACATCATGACCATATATAGGCACATCATAACTATATATGGGCATATAAGGATGGAGGACACCACTGGTTCCTTCTTTATGTTGACAACCATTTTATCTATTGTATATTTTTAGGTGTATTTTAGTTTTACTTGTGTGTGAAATATATACCAACAAAGGAATATGTGGCGGATTAAACCAAACCTTGTAGCATGCCACAAGAGGAGTCTACAGCAGGTGGTTTCACGCCACATGAGTGCTTCTACCGAGGGACAGAAAGTGATGGGTATCCGTCGAGAGGATTATGGCTCGCAGTGGGAGAGAAGAGCGCCACTTAGCCCAGCACATGTCAAAACGTTGATTGAGAGTGGTGTCAAGGTGCTGGTGCAGGACAGTAACAGGAGAGCATACCCAATACAAGTAAATTTATTTTTTGCCAATTCATTATTCACCAATTAAAAACCTGTATTAATGTTTTTTTTATAATACTTAATAATTTTAATTATGGACTTATAACCATATTTTAACATGTATTTTGTTATCTATTTTATTATTTTATGATGAAATAATTATTGAATTGTATAGAAATAGCTATCTTATGTAGTTTGTTCTTGCTCAATTGATTGCATATTATTAACCAGTTACTGTATGTACACTTGAACATATTTTTTGGATACCTTGTTCAATCCTTCAGCTTTCTTCCTCTTTCAGGTTTTAGGTTTTTAAAATATATAGTTTGAATTTTTAGAATTGAAAATCTTTTTCCCTCACCTGTGTGCAGGATTATGAGAATGCTGGGGCACACATCCAGGAGGACCTGAGCGAGGCATCATTCATACTCGGAGTGAAGCAGGTTCCAATCCCCAGACTGATTGCAAACAAAACCTTCTGCTTCTTTTCACACACTATCAAAGCACAGCTGGAGAACATGCCATTGCTTGATGCTATACTAGAGAAGGTCAGAAGTTGTTCATCCCTCATTCTATCTCATTCTTTATACTTGTGTTCTAAGTTTAGTTTTATAAATACTTGATTTCCAAATCACTACAATGTCACTAATGGTGTTTTCACTGTAATCAGTGTTCTGCGTCTCCGACGCAATCAGGAGGTCTCCCTGATTCAACCGATCATTGGCTGTCAGCTAGCGTGCAGTGATTTTTATGGAAACCAGGTTTAACATCAGTTTCTTGGACATTCTACGAAAAGGAGGAAAAATCAAACGAATGATATTGACTCCCTTGTAATAATGGCAGAATAACAATTCTAAAATCTGTCATTGTATCCTCGCTATTTTTTTATATCATTTTCCTTCCTATTCTTTGTTTTTAGAACATACGTTTAATTGATTATGAGAAGATTGTGGATGATAGTGGGAAGCGTCTTGTTGCCTTTGGGAAGTTTGCTGGATTAGCTGGCATGATCAACATCCTACATGGCATGGGTTTACGTCTACTGGCACTGGGACACCACACGCCATTCCTGGTGAGTTAAAAAATTTCATGTTCACCGAGTCTTATACATTGGCATTAAATTGCACTTAAATCTGGCATAATGTAAACATGATGTGCACAGTCCATAGAGCATTAGAGCTATCAACCTAATAATTCATGAAAAAATATTTTCTTTTTCTTCGAGTGCCATATGTGATACACGCTTCGGTGATAAAGAGCTCCCAGTGCTGATGATCTCTCGCCCAATTGATAAAGTCTGCAGGAGGGTTGCTAAAGCTTTTAATTTGGTCCAAAAACATAATTCGCTGCCTTCCCTTTGCTCATTTTATATGTTTGAAATTGTGTGGACTTATTATCCAAGTAAAAGAGATCATATAATTTGCATGTAATACTTTACTTTTCAGCATATAGCAGCAGCTCACAACTACCGAGACAGTAGCATGGCACGCCAAGCGGTGCGGGAAGCAGGGTATGAGATTGCATTAGGCCGACTACCCAAATCTATTGGACCAATGACCTTTGTATTCATGGGTTCAGGCAATGTATCCCAGGTAAGTAGAGGGTGCTTTCTGATTATAATGCAGTCAAATTTATATTTATTGCCAGTAAATGAAGAGATAGAGATATACATTGACTGCATTTATATGAATAAAATTAACTTTGGAATTTCAGGGTGCCCAAGAGATCATATCTGAATTACCTGTGGAATATGTCAAGCCTAGTGATTTGAAAGAAGTGGCTGAGAATGGAGGTTTGTGTTTGTACTAGTGGACTAATTAAAAAAATCATAAAGTAATATAAACAGTAAAAATATGGTTATAACAGAGTATTAAAATATTAGCAGCTTTTAAACACAATTATATGATATTTGTCAGTCTCAGTAGACATGAAAACATAGGTAGTCTGATCAGATTTGTCAAAAACAAGCTTATACTATATGGCCAAGTCTGATGAAACACTGTAGAGTTTTGCAAACACAATTAGTATTTTCCCAGCTGAATATAGAGAACTACATTGTTACATAACTGTATCACATGTCACATTTCGTTACCAAGCGATGCCTACCAATCAGGTACTTGGATTGGTTCCTCCTCAGCTGTGCCGTAGTTTTAATAGCTTTTTCAACTGATGTATTAAAACCTAATAATTCCTGATTATAAACATATAATTAAACATTAAAGCTCGGGCATATTAGCCACCTGGATAGTGTTGCTCAGCAGCAAAAAGGTATCACATGGTGTGGTGACATCAGTGACAAATAAATGTATGATTAGAGTAGATTGATAATTAATTATGTTGAATACCTTTATGAAGATCACAGGAAAGCCTATGCAACAGTTGTCAGACGAAAAGACCATCTAGTGCACAAAGATGGTGGAAAATTCAACCTGGAGGAGTATAGCCATCATCCGGAAAGGTTCCGTTCTGTCTTCAGTGAAATGGTAAGAATTTAATAACCCATTAAATTATGTTTAGTAATAATAATAATTGTCGTCTTATATTACGCATATTGTAGGGACCTCTATGCGCTTACATTATTGCTCCCGGATCACTGGATCAAGCACATATGGAACACACACTCAAGCCCCATGGGGGAATTCCGTAATGTTGCAGCTGTATTCAGCGCAGGCAGTGTTTGAACCTACTGGGTACCGACTTGTACTCCTGGGTGGAGAGAAACAACCGTAGATAAAGTGCAGTGCCCAAGGACACAAGCGAATTGCACAGCGAGAGTTTCGAACCCCCGACCTCAAGATTAGGAGTCCAAGCCACAACTGATGCGCCAACCACTTCTACGTTTATTAGGATAGTGTTGAATTTTGAATTATTACACTAGTCCTAGGCCAATCCCTTCACTTAGGCATTTGCAGTAACAAGTAGTATTGTTGTAGGGTTGAGCTTGGCTTGCCTTTCAATTCCAGAGTCCAATCCCATTGTAGCACTACAAGATTTTATAATATGCGCCACTTATAAAAATCAGCATCTTGGTTCTTATAATATTTGCTATAATGTTATTTTGTAATCATATTTAAACAATAATCCACTTGATTAATTCTTTATATCTAGATTGCTCCTTACAGCTCCTGCATCATCAATGGAATTTTCTGGGATGTTAATCATCCACGATTCCTTAGCAACATGGACACAAAGACCTTACTCAGCCCAGAGATGAGCCCTAAGACTGATGAGTCACCTGGATGTCCCAGATTGCCACACAGACTGCTAGCCATCTGTGACATCACTGCAGACCCAGGGGGCGCTATTGAGTTTGTGTCAGAGTGTACCAGTATTGAAGCTCCGTTCACATTATATGATGCAGACCACAGACATCAGCATTTCAAAAGTTTAAGGTAATTTAAATTATTAATATCGTTCTAATTTTTTTGACACCCATGTAAATTAATTGTTTGTTTTTTGTTTTTGTACATTTTTTTCATAATCTTACAAGCATTAATTAATTAGGCAGTTAATGTGCACATTGAGTAATGCCATTGTCATAGCGACACTGAACATCGCATTCTGCCGTGATATTGGCGCTATATAAATCATTGTTGATTGATTGATTGATTGAATATTATTTTATCTCTGACACCCCTTAAAAATAATAGAACCTTACATCTTAAGTTGTTTATTCCAACTCCCACATATTCTTCCTCATTTCTTTATTGTCTAATCAATGATAACCATCTGTTTTGTGTATCTTCGTTCTTCTTTTTATTTTAGATTTTCTGGAGATGGTGTACTTGTTTGTAGCATTGACAACATGCCTACTCAGCTCCCGAGAGAAGCTACTGACTTCTTTGGTGACTTATTGCTTCCATGGGTTCCAGAAATGGTAAGTATGCTTTACTCTTCCACCTTTTCTGTCTGATGTTTCTTTAAACTAATATTTCCTGTATTTTTTTAAAGTCATTTCTCCACCTCTGTTTCTGTCTTCGTCTTTTTCTTTTACTTTCTCTAGGTATCCATTCTGTTATTTTTCTTGTCCATCTGTTATCTGTGGTTCTGATAAGGCCCAATAAAAAAAATTATTAGTTTATCACCCTCGCGTGCATGCCTTCTATGGTACTGGAAAAAAAAAAATTTTGAAATTTTTTTTTTACAAATTTTATTTATTTATTTTTTTCATTTATTTTATTAAATAGTTAGTAGATATTGTTTGTATTATCTAAATCATGTTTTACTTTGAATATCAATGCACCAGCAAACAACAAAAGGGTATTATTTGGCTTTAGCAAAATAAAAAAATTTAAAAAAAAGCCTCCCTCCCTCATCACTTTTCCTGCCCAGATAGGGTGATAAACTAATAATATTTTTTATAGGGCCTAACATGACCTGCCCATCTCCACTTCATTTTTGCCACTTCTGACATGACATCATTCACACCTGTATTCTATCTAGAATCCTTATGTGTAACTTGCGTCTCTCCATGTCTCGTTGTATTACTGTAAACTTTACCGTGATTTTCTTTGTGAGGTGCCAGGTCTCTGAACCATATGTCATAAAACCGGTATCACACACTGCTTGAATACCTTCCTTCTTAAACACATTGGGATTTTACGATTTTGAAGAACCTCTTTGTGTTTACCAAATGCCATCCAACCCGATTTTATTTTTTCCTTTATCTTTCTGTCAGCAGTATGCTTTAACACACATCAGAAAAGGGGAATGCACTTCACTACATTACTGATGTTTTTAAATGTCAAAGAAATGGAGGATTTTTTTGCATATCATTATCATCTCTCTCATACTGGGAATGATTAGCTCTCGTTAAAGCATATCTTTAAATAATGGATTATCGGATTTTATCTCATGTAACTTGAAGTTTCTATAATTCTTCTTTTATTTATTTTGTGAAGCTCAAGTCGGATGCCACAATCCCCCTTGAAAAACAACAGTTATCCAGAGTTGTGTATGACGTAAGTGAAAGCTAAAAATCTTGTACAGTAATAGACATTTCAATAATGTCTTGATGGTTCTCCATAAATATTGCTGATATTCATATCTTAAATTTATATGGTTTGTTTATTCAGTAATTTTGATTGAATTTTATAGGCAGTGATAGCTTCAAATGGCAGCCTAGCCCCCAAGTACCACTACATCACTGACCTCAGGAAGAAAACTGATCCGTAAGTACTTTAACAGTATCAAAATGTTATTCATCAGCAGTTTCACACAATTACACAAGTGGGGCACAGTTTCCCCCCTCTTCTCCACCCTCTTAATTTTTTCAAAATAATAACAAAAAAAACAAACAAAAAAAACAATTATTTTCAAATTTAAGTCTGAATGTTCCATTTCCAGCCATCTAGAGGTGCCATAATCATACATTTTCTTACTCAGCCCTAGCCATGATCGGGCTGAGGTGGTCTAGACCCTCTGTCTGTGAAAGTTTCTCTTTTGGCGCCCCCCCCCCCCATTTCAAGTTCCTGGATCTGCCACTAAAGGCTGTCTCCTGTGTAAATGTATATGATCCTTGTTGAAAATCATGTCCCCTGGCCCCTTGGGACCCATACATAACATTCCATATAAAGCATCTCTACAAACTCACTAGGTCTCACTTTACTATGCTTTGTAATTGCCCTTCCATTGGTTCATATCAAGATTATTTCTGCTTCAGGAGTCTAGCTGTAATCAACGGTGCTGAGAAGCAGCGAGTGTTACTGTTAGGCTCAGGATATGTCTCCTCACCAGTCGTTGAATACCTCACTAGAGATGGTGGCATTGAAGTAACAATTGGTGAGCCGGATTTTGTCTCATAATATAGCACTTATAATGTGCCATCTATCCTTTGCATGTCTTTTATTTGGTTTCACCAAGCAATAACAATCATTTAGTATTTTATTCCTATCTCATTGGTTGTCTTTGTATTTTATTCCTAACGATGCCCTAGCAGGTAACAATATTTGAAGTAAGAAGCAAGGTTAATATGATAGAAAAAAATATCTGGTTCTACTCTGATACGGGAAAAAAGCCCAATGCAGGAAGTGATACTTCGCCCACAGTTACACTTGCACAAAGAAAGGAAGACACAACAAGTTCTATTACCAGATACCAACAACATTAAACGTCCCGCGACCCTGAAAAATAGTTTTGGCATGAAATATGCTTTATTTTTTTTAATTTCTAATCGGTATAAGCCTGCTTATTATTAGGCCTATGCAACTATTTGAGGACTGCTTAGAATGTGGCACTTTACCACTTATCATGCTAAGAACTTAAAACCGTCAGTTCCCAACAAACTCTAATTTTGCGTGAATTGAAATTAAGTGGTGGTGCCAGTTGCAGAGGCAGATCCCCGTCAGAGCTCTCTGTCAAAGAACTCAACACATTCGTTAGGGAAAAAATAATGTGTGACTTTTACAGAATATGAGGCTGCAAGATTGATTACGGGCCTTAAGCATTCAAAATTACTAAATTGTTAGAACTTCCGGGAGCTTAGACCCTGGACCTCTTTCAGAGGTTCTGGGACATTGCACCTCCCCTGCCTTTGGGCAAATATTAGCGCCACCAATTTTTGGGATGATTTTACACAAGCACAAAATAAAAGATCAACAATTAGTAAAATAAAGTGTCCTAATTCTTTATTTGGCAAAATATTATATCGATCTTAAGGTGCAAAAATTGTAATGAATTTAGTGTCCTAATATTGTCCTGTAGTACAATTAAAAATAGAAGAGAATTTGAAATTGCCATAAAAACTTCAATCGTCTGTGCAGCCGAAAGGGGCCTTCAGCCACAGCATCTCAGAATTTTACCTTAGGTCCATATAAATTATAGCAAGATACTTGAAGAAACTTGGAGACTGTCTTTGGCATCAAATCTAAAAATAATTTTTCCCTTCAAATAAATTAAGAACCAGGGATATATAGGCACATCATGACTATAAATGGGCACATCATGATTATATATGGGCACATCATGACTATATGGGCACAACATGACTATATATGGGCACAACATGATTATATATGGGCACATCATGACTATATATGGGCACATCATGACCATATATATATGGGCACATCATGACCATATATGGGCACATCATGACCATATATGGGCATATAACAGTTCAAAGAACATTTGATAGTGTGGATAGTGCTTCAGGTTATTTTATGTTTGTATTATTTTATAAAGGAAGTAGGACTTGGAGAGACTTTATCTCTCCGCAGTTCTCCTCTTTCAATTAAATGTATGTTATCCTTTTTTTTTATTCTTCAGCATCGTCAATTAAAGAAGAGGCTGAAAATATAGCTTCTAAATACGATAACACAGAAGCTGTATATCTGAATGTGAAAACCCATGAGGCCCACCTGCATCAACTTGTCAAGAAACATGACATTGTTATTAGGTGACTGTTACTTTCTTTAAACTTTGTAGAAAGCTGGTTGTATACCAGTATTTGTAAACCAAACTTCATGAATGATTTTCTCGGGAAATTGCATTGGTCGTTCAGTGTTCATTAAAATAGAGTTGATATACATACATACATATAATACAAAAAATACTATAACGTACTTGTATACATAATAAATTACAAAGCATATGTTTAAAGTTAATAATGATATACTAATAGTCATTTAGCATAGAATAGAATACGGTATGAAAGAGTTAAAGAATCTCGATGTTCTACACATACAGTAGGTGTTCTTAGATTATGCCCATATCTTAAATATTGGTGTTAGGAGTGGTGTATGGGAATCAAATCCACTTTATTTATGTTCAGAAGGGAGAAGGAATGATGTTTTTATATGAGTGATATATGTATATGTGGCAAAGACAAGCCAAACCAGTCACTCATCGCAAAAATTTTGAGTTATTAATACAGTGTTAGAGAGTAAAATAATAGCTATAAAATGGTAAAAAAATCATTCAAATTGGACATTTCCTTATGAAGTTACAATCGTTTAGCCACACAGCTGTTTAAAGAACAATATATGAGAAATCAGCCTTCAAAATTTATGATTTCAGGCATTTCTCATGTAGAAACTATCTTTAAATCCTCAAAAAGTGTTAATAAAATAACAGCATAGGATGATGTGTAGATATATAAAGGTTAGTTTAGTGCAATAAAATAGATTTTTAAAAATTTGACATTCCAGCATGTTTTGGCCATTTTCTCTGAAACACGATTTGCGACGAGTGACTGGTTTGGCTTGTCTAAAGCATGAAGTTAAAATAGTTTAAAGATATAATTCTAACATTTTAGGTGGTGATTGATTAATTAATTTATTGATAGATTTATTGTTCCATTGATTGGTGGGCTGATCGATTGAATGATTGATTGATTAATTGAATAATTGTTTGATAAATTGATTGATTGATTGCTTAAAAAAATTCACTGGTGTATGCATAATACTTTTAAAAAAAAAATAATTTTCAGCCATTATTTACAAATTTTAAATAATTATTTTACTAAGTAATATCAATTTTAAATTTATGCTCACAACACAAAAAGTATAATCGTATTGGTATTAGGCCAAAAAAAAAATTGTTTGCCCTCCTCCACCCACCTCTACCCACTTTATGTATGATGTAAAATATTGCCATTCTAGGCCTCTGTGGTTTATTTTTATTCTATCTGATGGGTATCTTTAAAAAAAGACACAAAAAAAACTATTTTTATTTTTTTATTTTTTTTATCATCCAAAAAAAAAAAAGGGCAAACAAACAATTTATTTTTTCAGGCCTTACCATTATTACCAACACAGTTGAGCTTTCATACTAGTATTACAAAAATTATTTACTATAATTTCTGTCTCTTATACACATCTAGATGTGTATAAGAGACAGCACTCATACAAATAACAATGCAAATAACTATTATTACATATCTGATAATTTACCAAATTGAAGTTTAACAATAAAATCATTAATTCAAAAGGAAAAAGCAATATTACAGAAATGCCCAATATAAGTGGTCATAACTGCAGTACTATTGTTACTGTACCTAAGCCTAGAATATAGAAAAACTGTAGATAAAGATTGCTTTTGCCAGGGCCTAAGGCTAGGCTTACATTGAAAGGGTTGTTTGAACACTTGCTGTACATTTCTACACAAGAACCGAAAGGTCCACTGATTAATCTCTAATTTCCTGATTATGACGTAATTAATGTCGAAATATTGAATCCCGACACGATGGCGTGCATTTCGATACACTTCATGTTTGGTTTGAAAATACTCCTACAGGCTTACTATTACCAGGGAGTTGTTGTATGGACGATGCCCTAGCAGGTAACAATATTTGAAGTAAGAAGCAAGGTTAATATGATAGAAAAAAATATCTGGTTCTACTCTGATACGGGAAAAAAGCCCAATGCAGGAAGTGATACTTCGCCCACAGTTACACTTGCACAAAGAAAGGAAGACACAACAAGTTCTATTACCAGATACCGACAACATTAAACGTCCCGCGACCCTGAAAAATAGTTTTGGCATGAAATATGCTTTATTTTTTTTAATTTCTAATCGGTATAAGCCTGCTTATTATTAGGCCTATGCAACTATTTGAGGACTGCTTAGAATGTGGCACTTTACCACTTATCATGCTAAGAACTTAAAACCGTCAGTTCCCAACAAACTCTAATTTTGCGTGAATTGAAATTAAGTGGTGGTGCCAGTTGCAGAGGCAGATCCCCGTCAGAGCTCTCTGTCAAAGAACTCAACACATTCGTCAGGGAAAAAATAATGTGTGACTTTTACAGCAAATATTAGCGCCACCAATTTTTGGGATGATTTTACACAAGCACGAAAGAAAAGATCAAGAAATAGTGAAATAAAGTGTCCTACTTCTTCATTTGGCAAAATAATATATCGAAAAATTGTAATGAATTTAGTGTCCTAATATTGTCCTGTAGTACAATTAAAAATAGAATAGAATTTGAAACTGCCAAAAAACTTCAATCGTCTGTGCAGCCAACAGGGGCCTTCAGCCACAGCATCTCAGAATTTTACCATATAAGGTCCATATAAATTATAGCAAGATACTTGAAGAAACTCAGAGATTGTCTTTGGCCTGTGACATCAAATCTAAAAATAATTTTTCCCTTCAAATAAATTAAGAACCAGGGATGTATAGGCACATCATGACTATAAATGGGCTCATCATGACTATATGGGCACATCATGACTATATATGGCCACATCATGACTATATATGGCCACATCATGACTATATATGGGCACATGACTATATATGGGCACATGACTGAATATGGGCACATCATGACTATATATGGGCACATCATGATTATATATGGGCTCATCATGACTATATGGGCACATCATGACTATATATGGCCACATCATGACTATATATGTGCACATGACTATATATGTGCACATGACTATATATGGGCACATCATGACTATATATGGGCACATCATGACCATATATAGGCATACAACAGTTTTTGTCAAAGAACATTTGATAGTGTGGGTAGAACTTTAGGTTATTTTATGTTTGTATTGTTTTAAGGAAGTAGGACTTTTAGAGACTTTATCTCTCCACAGTTCTCCTCTTCAATTAAATGTATGTTATCGTTTATTCTTCAGCATCGTCAATTAAGGAAGAGGCTGAAAATATAGCTTCTAAATACGATAACACTGAAGCTGTATATCTGAACGTGAAAACACATGAGGCCCACCTGCATCAACTTGTCAAGAAACATGACATTGTTATTAGGTGACTGTTACTTTCTTTACTTTGTAAAAAGCTGGTTGTATACCAGTATTTGTAAACCAAACTTTATAAATGATATTTTACATGCCATGCAAAGAACAGAAAATGGTCAGGCAGTGAGATCTGTGTGTGAGAGAGAGCTGATGATTGTAAATATGAGAAGAGGTAGTGAATTTAGAATCAGAAACAAATTTATTTGTTCTCGCGGAAATTGCATTGGTCGTTTAACGTTCTTAAGACCAATACATACATTTAAATAAAGTTGACATACATACATATAATACAAAAAATACTATAATGTACTTATATACATAATAAATTACAGAGCATACATTTAAAGTTAATAATGATATACTAATAGTCATTTAGCATAGAATAGAATACGGTATGAAAGAGTTAAAGAATCTCGATGTTTTACACATAGGTGTTCTTAGACTATGCCCATATCTTAAATATTGGTGTTAGGAGTGGAGTGGGGGAATCAAATCCACTTTATTTATGTTCAGAAGGGAGAAGGAATAATGTTTTTATATGAGTGATAGATGTATATGTTTGGGTATACAAAACACTAATATATGTCAAGGTGTATTAATGACATTTTTATAAAACACTATTAATTTTTATTTTATGGTTGAAGTCTCCTCCCAATACCATTCCATCCCATGGTGGCAGAGATTTGTCTGCAACAAAGAAAGAACTTAGTAACAGCAAGCTACACAAGTCCAGCTATGAAAGCACTGCACAAAGAGTGAGTATCACTTCCATGTTTCTCATTAGCTATACTTCTTTATATACTGCATACATAGATTCTAGGCATCCGATTGGTTAAGAAGCAGGCAATAACTTCAGCCATTATTCCTATGACGTAAGTTGAATGATAGTTCATAAATTCCCAGTGAAAAAAATACTATCACGTTAAATGATAGTACTTTTTTGCCATGTCGCGATGTAATCTCTAGGCCCCCACCTATAACGTGGTTGCTATGCAAATTATGACACGCACATAAGGTAAAGAGGAAGTGATCTCTACGGACGCTGAGAGAGATTGGCCCTTTGATCACCTAGGAACTAAGGCTAGGCCTACATGTACTTGTTGGGTACTCATTTCATTTCATTTGTTAGGCCTCATAGAATCTATGTATGAGATATATAAAGTAAATATTGACTGCTCCAGGTTCGGGAAACGGTGAAATCTATAGCCCCTCAGTGATGTGGAGACATAGTCTAATATCTTTCCACGGGCCTTGGGACAATAGATATCACCATTCCCCTCATGAGCAGTCAGTATTTGTATACTAGCCATAAAAGCACCGTATAGTTTTCTTTATTATTCAGGAACAGAACAGAGCTATTTAATATATGGCGTGCCTGTTCTAATTGTCTTTATTTTTTTTGAATTATTTTTCTTTTTATTATTTTCTATTAGCAATATTGTTTTGTTTTTACCTTGATTTCATTCTTCTTTATTATCATCATCCTCTTTCTTATTTGTTTGTACCATAGTGCTGTAGATGCCGGTGTCACTTTCCTGAACGAGTGTGGTCTTGACCCTGGCATTGATCACATGCTTTCAATGGAATGCTTTGATTACATCCATGATAAAGGAGGAAAGGTAAGTTGCTTAATGAGATGTGCTTAAGATTTTTATACTTAAGCTAGTATATGTTGCAAGATAAGTCATAAGTATCACAAGCAGTATGTAATATTGTTATAATATATTATTTTATATTTTCTTATGCACATTATTTTAATTTTGTCATCCAAATTTCATCATTACATTTAGCATTGTTGGTTTTCTTGGTTTAGGTCACTTCATTTGAATCTTATGCAGGCGGGCTCCCGGCACCAGAACATTCTGAAAACCCCCTACGCTACAAGTTTAGGTTAGTTTAACCTATTATTATATTAATGCAGTTTTTATTTTATTGAAGTTGTGTCTTAATGGTTAAGTTTTAGAATATTCATTGTTGTTTGTGTATCAATGCTGTGTCCCCATTGCTAATATGTTGTGTGTCTATTGTATGATTACCTACCTAGATAAACCATTCATTGCAGATGTTACCTCTAATTAGAAACGGACTAAAATAGTAGGTTCATTCATCACAGCAGGCTGTACAAGAATGCACTACATAAAGCTATCTCATAATTATTTTTGTTGAGAGCAAAGTCATATTATTTGCCAGTTTCCTTGATTGAAGGGAACATTATTAGCAATTGTCAGTTTATCACCAATGTAAATAGTTCATTCATTACCATAATTTCATCTATTATTATTATTAGTGTCCGTGGGCAATATTTGTCTCTTTTCACTCAGAAGTGCAAGTAGCTACTTAAGGCCTGTTTATACTTCAGCGATAACGATAACGATAAAAAAGCTAAAAAGCAATTGATCATATAGAAAACAAAAGAAATAGGAGATGTTTCTACACTAGAACGATTCGGTAACGATTTATCAGTTATGCGATAACAACATATTTTGACAAATGAAATCAGATGATGTCATAATCATGGAAAAACATTAAAATAGTAGCAACAATTTTATCGTTTTTCCATGATTATGACGTCATCTGATTTGATTTGTTAAAATATTTTGTTATCATATACACGATAATTCGTTATCGAATCGGCCTAGTGTAAAAACTTCTCCTATTTCTTTTGTTTACTATATTAATAATCGCTTTTTAGCTTTTTTATCATTATCGTTGAAGTATAAACAGGCCTTTAGTATGTTTTATGTTGTTATGATGTTAATAATACTGTAATAATAATAATGCCTAAAAACAATTATCCTCCCTTCTCTGCTGCCCCAAAATCAAAACACATGTAAATAATGTGATAAAGAGTTGGCTATTCAACCTGGACCACGCACATCATGGGTGTAAAGCCGGGAACTCGCAGCGCCTGGCGGTCGTCGGCCAACAGGATTTTGTGGAGAACGCCACAATGCGCATGCAGCAGATCTAATGACGATTTTAATGACGATCCATTGAGACTGCCACTGACAAATAACAGACGGTGTCTCGTTATCTGACTTCCACCATGAGCGGGTTGGATTCGTCAGCCGACAGGGGTTCGACCACCGTACGATGTAGCGAGCGCCCGACTTTACTGTTAGGATGTTAGTTTCAGTGATCCCCGGTAGATCTTGAGTAAAATCAAAATCAAATCCTTACATTTATATTGCGCCATTCCAACCATCATTGCTCGTGGTGCAGTGGACAAGATGTTGCTCTTTTCAATAACGTTCTCCTCCCCTGAGGATCGCTTCATGTCATATTCCGATGTTCCTATTTTCTCTTGCCAAAAGCATATGATTCATGCATGTCTAGGAACTATTTTTATTAATTATTATTTATATTATTATTTGACATTTTATTGTTACTTTCTTTATTATGTTAGATGAGAATGAATAAAACCAAATTTAATTAGATTTAGTAATTTTGTTTTCATGGGAGTGTGTTCTGCATCATAGATTGCAAAGTGACTCCATTGCTGTGGAGAAAATAAAATCTTCCAGGTGAGAACACACAACCCTTTTGAATTTATTGATGTTGGCCTCCTAAAATTCTGTGTGCGCTTAATGTTAATCGTCAGTTGTTCATTAACGCTACATCCCACTACTATAACCATTAGTTTTCGGGAAGAGATCAATTTAGTTTTATTAAATTTGCTAATGAAATTGAAATTATAGTTTTTTTTTTTGCTTTTAGTATTAAAGGCCTGTCATAGTTTCATCTGTGCATATATGTCAAAAGTGTATAAACAAATTATCTGGCCTATTACAGAGCATGTACGGAATGAATGTGTGTAGCTTACGTTCATTCTGTTTAGGAATGTAAACATTGCCTTTACCTTTGGCATACATATGCGCAGTTGAAACTACTAATGTGATCCAGGTTTGTATTTCTTTCACTTGCTTGTTCTATTTAGTTATAAGTTCTGGTTTTTATTATTTTATTTTGAACTTCCATTATATTAATATTTTTTCTGTTATGTAACAACTGTTTTCAGTCTATGCTACATCAATAGTTTATTTTATATTGTAAATCATGATTAATTCGTGAAGAAATTATTAAATATATTTAATAAGTAATATAATCATCCATTATATTTTTTAAAAAATAAAATTTCACCAAAATATATCTCTCCTCTTTGAATGGTCTTTAATAAGCAAAATTTTTATCCGATTATAATAATAGTAAATATATAGACAATGCGAAATTACATTAATTTTATTAGATAGAATAAGTACTCTTATGTAGCTTCTAATTTTCTTGGCTTTAGCTATCAATGTAATACACAGATTAATGTCATAGTACTGCTGTACATTATACAGATTTGGGGCATAGTACTGCTGTACATTGTACAGATTTGGGGCATAGTATAATAAAAGTATATAGAGACTTAGTGCCACCTTTGCATTATGCCTGCTTGCACAGAAATGCTTGTGGTACTGCATCAGTAGAATACGCATATGTGTAAATAATTGGATTCTTCCTAGTTTGGTTCTATAAATACCTCCATGCTTAAATCATAAATATTAAAGTGACTTGTTTCCATCATTTTTATTGTATATGAGGTGGGACTTTTTTTATTCCTTGTTTCGCGTACTTATTTTTTTTTAAGATCATCAGAGGAGGGCGGAATAAAAATTAAAATAAAATTTTGTTTTCTTATTTAGTAAACAGTTTTGCCAAAAACATCCAGACAGAGGAGAAAATAAAAATAAAATTTTATTGGCGAATGTAAAATGGGATGGTTGAATGCTTCAAATTTATATAATTAGGAAGAAATATACAACCTTTGGAGATTTCAAGGCAGCGGAGGGTGTAATAAAAATTTTAAAAACTTTTTTCTGAAATTTCCATTTTTTTATGGCAGCGGGTGCGCTAATTGGCCAGAAATAAAAATTAACTTTTATTCAAAATCATCAGTATTTGCATTCAACGGGTTTGCTAAACAAGGTATAAAGAAGTCTGACCTGATAGATAGTATAATGCTTTGATTGTCTTAGTAGATGATGGGAAGAACTTTTAAACTTAGCATAAACTTAATTTTACCTTCACATTTATATAGGAATTTAATATTAGCAAAAATATGTAAACAATTTATTTAAAGAGGTGTCTAAAGGGTTTCTAAGACAATAGATTCCGGATTTTTTTATTAATGACAATGTATGTTTTTAAATACTCATTGGTAACATTTTTACAATACAATTTGTTATTTGATTATTTTCTTTGAAATACAATTTAATACAAATGTTACTGTGTGTTATATTTTCATAGTAGTGCAAGTATTGTATTAGCAAACACTAATTACTTTCAATTTGTTATCGCTATATATAATTTTTTTTCCATTTAACAAGTCATTTTCACAGCCACTAAAATGTAATGTGAATTTCTATCGCATTGTACATTATTATCCCTATCATTTGAACACCTATGCTTATGTCCTTGAGGAGTGTTCAGTAATATTTCAGCTAGTGAACATTGTTTTGGCATATATAAACATATTGTACCAGGTTCCTACTCCTGTTTTGAAAAGACAACATATGACTTACTCAAGGGACAGTCATGTGACATACTCAAGAGATAATCAGATGACCTACCTCAGACTTAAACTGCAAATCATAATAAACATTTGATCATTCAAAACAGATAAATAGCTTTCTTCTGCATGTACCATCACCATGAATACCATGTCATAAAACTAGTCCTACTCAACAGTATTTGCCGGTGACATTTTGAATTAGCACCCAAAGTGCTTGTTGAGGACACCAGTTACATTTCAAAAAAGCAGTCAAGATCCTTGAGGGCAAATTATTCCTCCTGTTACATCCTATCCCAGAGTGCATAGCAATGCAACTGCTTTTTTTTTCAGGTATTAAGACATGCCTATGAGCCATAGCAACCATAACCATAGCAACTGTTATGAAAACAACACTTTCATTGAAATTGTTTTTAAATTGTTTATCACTTTCAGTTGGAGTCCATTCGGTGTTCTTAGTGGTTTAGGACTTGATGCCAAGTATCTAAGTGATAAAAAAGAAGTGTACATTCCACCTGGATACCTGATGGAATCCTGCAAAGACATGTCCTTCCTACCAGGATTCAACCTCCAAGGGTACCCGAACCGAGACTCTACACAGTACATCTTCACGTATGGCGTACAAACAGTTGATAGCTTCATTCGTGGGTCGCTTAGATACAAGGTATTTGATTATGACATCGGCCAATTTCATTGAATATGTTATATTAACAAATGTTTTCTATTGGGCGTCATTCTGATATGATATTCACAGCTCACAATAAATATTCAAGTGGTTATTAATTATGATGTTCAATTGTGTGTTTTTACAGGGGTACTGCCATGCTGCCAATGGCCTTTTGAAACTGGGATTAGTTGATGGAAGTCCTCACCCAGCCTTACATGAAGAAGCACCTGCTATAACTTGGGTAAATAACATACATTATTATATGTTTTTATGTGTTTGTATATTTATTTATTGATTTATAACAGAGTTATTAAAGTTATACATTACTGTTTCAAATAGTTTTGGTTGTGTAAATCATTTGCGTGATATATTTGATTTGTCAACCAATTGATTGATTGATTTCATGTAATAGGCCTATTATTCATCCAAGTTATGTAAAAACACAATTACAAATATTGACTTTCATGAAGGGAATGGTGAAATATACTGCCCCTCAGCCCTCGAGAAGATAGGCTACGGTCTCCACATCACTGAGGGGCAATAGATTTCACAATTCCCTGAATCTAGAGCAGTCAATATTTGTTTTATATACCTCATACATAGACTCTACAAGCCCTAAAAAGTGCTTAATGCCTAGCCTAGAGAGAAGCCAGACTAGCTGCTACACTAGCCTAGGCGATCAAAGAGGGTGTCTAGCTCTTTTTTGCTCATGTACTTCCTATGGCCCCGCTTGTTAACCATTCAAATGCCTAGAATCTATGTATGAGGTATATAATACCTATTATGTTGATTATTTATACTGTAGTTGCTATTATTGTCGTCATAAAGCCTCCATGTGCTTGCAGGATGGTGTGGATTTGATTAGATTTGATTATTCACTGTGAATACCAAGCCTGTTCACTTAATTGATTTCTGATGCATTATGTAATCTTTGTTTCTCTGTGTTTACCTACTCAGCGTGAATTGATGTCTAACCACCTTGGACATGATTCAGGGACGAGTGCAAGCACTCTTAAAGAGATCGTCTGTGAGAAACTTGGGGATGAAGATGCTGCACAAGTGGTGGAAGAGTGAGTGACAATAATAGAACAATGATAGTAATAATAATAATGATAATAACAACAGTAGTGATAATGATGATAATAATGGTAATGACACTGGTAATGATAATAATAATAATGATAATTTTATTCTAGTACCTTTCAATATGTTACTTTGTTGACTTTATTCATGTATATTTTTAGAGTTTCCCTTAGTGGACTACAGTAATAAAACCTAGTGTTATTCTATTAAGCTTATGTTTACATAGCATAGGGATACTTATAAATCCTTGCAAGCCTAGAGGCTTCTACTTTAATTTCTTCCCACTTTACGAACACTATTTTGGCTGGTTTTAAATGTCGACAGGCAATAATTGCGAAGTAGTGGTCAGTAATGCAGCACAGTGGACAATAATGAAAGTACAGTGTTTTTGAGAGAGTGATGATTTCAACTAAAGCTAATAAATAATGCAATTATTCTCTTTTTTGTTATTTACCCAGCCTTGGCCTCCTTGCAGACTCTCCAGCTGAGAGAAATGGAACATTATTACAGAGTTTATCAAACCATCTGAGCAAGAGGCTAGCATACAGTAAGTCGCTGGTTGAATACACTCCAACATGCATATCTCATGAATATTCATATAGTACATTCAATAATGTTGTCTTAATCATTAGATGAAAATTGTTTGATTTGGGGAAAGGGCTATTGTTCAAATGGGGATTTGTGACTTTGGTTTTTGGCCGATCGTATTTTTACAAACTAACATGAAATTTCTGTAAGGTTAATAAAGTATTTTTGAACCTGAACCTTAACTTTGAAGGTATGTTGAATAATTAATTAAGTATTTTTGTAATTTGCAGAAGAGGGGGAGCGTGATTTGGTGATAATGCGCAACCAAGCTGGCGTGGAATGGAGCAATGGTAATTGTGAAACTCATGAGATATCCCTTGTGGTGTATGGTGAACCTGATGGCTTCTCTGCTATGGCAAAAACCGTTGGTTACCCAGCAGCCATTGGAGCCAAAATGATTCTTGAAGGTGGGTTGTTTTATTGGCGTGGTTAACGCATTTATGTGCAATGCTCTTACAGAAGAGAAATATGTGTGTGAGCATTTTTTTTTTTCCATCATTATTTCGTATTTGAAGATGATTCTTGATTAGTTAACTTATACATTATTTTTTCCATCATTATTTCGTATCTGAAGATGATTCTTGATTAGTTAACTTATACATTATGGGAATAATGTAATGTAGTTAGATTTGTATAGCACTATATACCATAGTCTCAAGGTGTGGGCTAGCTCATACGGTAGTATCCAAATGTCTAATAATTGTTTGAGTACAAAAATATTGCCCCATTGAGATTCGAACCCAAGATCCCATGACTATGTTAGGCCACTCTACCATCTAAACCATGAAGACAGGTAGGTATACTCCCAGGTTTTTGCCAATTTCTAATTTTGTGAATATGTATGTTTATTATAAGTATCAGAAAATGTTATACTGCCCTCAATTTGCAAAGCAATTTATATACCTTTAACGCTTAATATAAAAATTTTTTATTTTGTTTCTTATAAAGGTGAGATTGTTGAGAAAGGTGTTATGATACCACTTGGTAAAAACATTTACAAACCAATTCTAAATCGACTAAAGGCTGAAGACATTAGAGCTACCACTAACATCAAATACCACTAGGCATCTACCGCTACAAGATTCACCAATATGTTTGACCAAAGAGTAGAAAATGGAAAGAGTGCACAGTTCAGTTCAAAAATGCATCACTACCCTGGTTACGCCATTGAAGTCGCCAACGTCGCTTTAGAAATGCACCCACTGTGGTCTGATTGCGTGATAAAAATGCGCCCACAAAAGATATAAACAAACAAACATTTGGTTCTGAAAATTGTAACACTAATATAACTATCGCTCTCTACAAAGGAATTCTATCTTGTGGAAAACATGAATAAACCGTGGTAGGTTCTACTAGGTAAGCAAAAAGACAACCAGATGCAGTGGGCATCCTCCCATAAGTGTGTAAGGGTGTATCATTCATTTATGCTCAAAACAAGGATACTGTATTCTATTTCCTTTGGTTTGATGCAAACAAACTTTATACCGTATCTTCATATTCTGGATCTTGAAGATGTGCGAATCAATGGCTTGCATCAAATCCTCCAGGGGTTGTTTCATGCTATCTTCTACCGCTACCGTAGAGGTGTATCGTAGCTAGTTAGTTGCTGTGATATGTGAAAGCCTTGACAGAAACACAGAAACAGAATCTACTTGTGTGTGTATTATTCTAATACAAAAGGTACAGAAGTGTGGAGTTTAAATTAATACAAAATTAAGGTAATGATCAGAGATCACAAGATTTGTCTTTTTATCAACTGTTTATTTACACAGTGTACACATTAGAATTTACTTGTATGTATTTTCAACTACTAAGGGTTGTGTGTGATGTAGAGTTCAGTCTGAAGGTTAATGCACAAATATGCAAAGTTGGCGAATGTACGACATTGATCTGTTGAAGCTGCCGACTGAATGCTGCTTGGAAGTAATCATGCAAGACAAAATATGTTTGTTTTAACATGTTTGCTGCCATGAACTAGAATACAGTACTCTTCTTATAGGGTGTTACATATAGACCAGTGACTATACTTGCAGCTATACACTGCTGTATTCTATTGTGTGACACTGCTTGCAGGGCCACAGCTGCAGTGGCTAGGAGTATTCAAATGGGGGCAGGGTTGATGGGGGTACTAGCTGGCAAAATAAGGTGGAGTATTTGAGCGCATTGTGTGTAGGAGTGTGTTCCTGTGCGCAACTCGGTATTTACGCCACTGCAGAAAACACATCAAGCAGCAGCTTAGGAAGGTACTTAATAATCTAAAAATAAATTTGAAATCTTTTTTAAGGGAAAAACATTGTCATCGTATGGTAGCAAACATGTTAATACACAAGAATTTCATCTTATTTACCTATATTTTATTAATAAAAGCCAAAGTAAATACATGGTATAACAAAATGTGCAAATATTTATGTAATATTAATAATGAAATTAAATCTTTGTGCCCCACTGTGGGATAGTCATGGTTCGCAGTTGATCTGACATGCATCAGGATAAACAAAATAGTTTGCAATGATATATGCAACATATGCAATATACAAATGCTGTTAGATTAGGCCCAAATCTCTCTTTTTTTACCAGTAAGCAATTTGAAGTAGCTTCAAGCCATCAATACAAACAAGATTTATCTTTCTCGCTGGTGGAGCTGTTCATCTTACATCCTAGGCTAAAATGCTGTGTGTACACTAT